GTCGGGTATACGCTTCCACTCCCTTCCTTGGTAGTAGATTTCTGTCGTTTCTACGAGGTGTGTCTGGTTCAACTTTCACCGTATTTATATAAATTGTTCCTCACGCTACTCAAGATCGCGGAGCTTGCGGGTCGGGAGATCACTCTGAGACACATGCTCAATATTTTTGCCCCTCAACTCATTCGAGGCACGATGATTCACATGCGCCATCGAGGGACGAAGAGTCTAGTGGTGAAGATGGATGATAGAGCCAATTGTCGTTTCTACGAAAACTATTTTTATGTGCGGACCGAGCACCTTGTGGCGGATTCTGCAAGTTTCCTCGAGAGGTGGAACTTCACATGTAAGTTTTATATCTTTTGCCAGAATGATAGTCGACCGTTCGTCTTTGGGTAGTATTAAATTATTATTGCTTTTGCAGCTACGAGACTACCCTCTACGCTTGACGATATCTGCGAATGGGTGAATGTCATTCTTCCTCATACAACGGGAATTCACGAATGGTCATCCTTCTATGAGAAATATGGACGTAAGCCCCTTACTAATAATTCGTCTTGCCGTAGTTTATGTTTTCTGCTTTGCAATTTGACTTTGTTGCTTATACGACTATTTTCGTTATTAGGGAGAGTGCAGAGGGCGAGGGCTCCTCCACTTGCATTTCATTAGCCAACATCTTCTGCTCGACCCGTATCAAGGTCTGTTGTCCGACCTATAGCAAGGGCTAATCAAGTTGAATTTATGGCCGGAGCTGTGTGCATGGAAACTTTTCCCCAGTCTAGGGCTCCGACTCCTACTGCCCGCTTAACGGGGGAGTCTTCCTGTGCTGAGGACGGGGAAGGGCCGTCAAAGAGACGACGAGTGGAGTCCGAAATGGTTCCTTCAGTTGTGGTATGTTTATAGGGTGGCATTTCCTTGATGGAGTTTGAGATGGGAGGTGATGCTAACCCATCCACAGAGGTAGAACCGGTTACCGTAACCAACCCGACGACAGAGACTTCGGCTGTTATGATTGACCAACAGACTATTGCGATGGAAAGTCGAGATCCCGAGGCCGTTGTTGCTACTTTGGGCGGGCCTTTGTCTTTTGGATCGGGTTGTGCTTCTTCCTCAGCCGCAGAAAGGGGAAAAGGTGTCATGGTCGATGACTACGAATCTGAATCCAATCTTGATCCTGATGATATTAGGATGTTCGAGGAAGGCCTTACTCGTACGGTGATAAGGGCTGGAGGTCCGACATGTATACTTGAGATCCCGTCAGAGATTAACCTTCTAGGGGACACAGAGGACTTGGTACCACAATTTGACCTTTTGTGCTCTACCGCAGAATGTGAGGCTCTTTGGGACATCCGTTACGTCGAATTGATGCATGAAGTGGCTGTTATGGGCCTGAGGGTAAGTTTTTCCTCTTTCTTTTTGTGTTCCTTTTATCTTTGGCGACCTTGGCATTTACCAAATCTTTTCGTCTTTTAGATGTATATGGTGGAGATTGAAAGTGCTCGCAAGGCCGATACTCGGGCCAAAAATTTTCTGATGATGTTGGAGAAGTATCGGCATTACCGCAACAGATGTCGTGAGATGCAGGAAGAGCTAAGGGCGAACATCGGTAACCAATCTCTCGGAGAGGAACTGGAGAAGAGGGATCAGAAGCTGATGCAGGCTATTCGTAGGAATAGTGAGCTCGAGGAGCAACTTCGTGTAAAGGACGAAGAGCTTGAGTTGAGCAAAGGGGTCGCTGCAAAGTGTGAACATCTTCAGGCGAAGGTGCGGTCGTTGCAGTCCGAGCTGGATCATAGTGCCATCAGAGTCGAAGCTCTCAGTGTGGAGTGGATGGGGAATTTAGTCGAGCTGGAGAGGAAAGTCTCCGAGTTGGAGAGTGCCTTGGTGTCGGCTTCGGTGAGGGCGGTGACTTTAAAGGACACTATATGCGTCCTTTAATCCGAGCAGGAGTCCGAAAGCACGACGGCTACGCTCAGGGAGGCGAGGCTCGAGGAACGTATTGGCAAGATTGACCGAGAAACTTCAACCTTTGGAGATCGGGTCTCTGTTCATGAGGTCAAAAAGGCGCAATTGTTGGAACAAGTTGAACCCGCCTCCACCGTTGTTCCTCGCCATTTGCACGAGCTTTGGGTCCATGTTGAGGCCCAGCGGGACATATATAAGAGTTTTTGGGAAACGAGCATTGTATCTGAGTCCGCTTATGAAGGAGCTCAGGCAAAGACACGAGAGGCTCGTGTTGACTGTGGTTACGATCCTGTGATATCGGAGGTCAGCGAGGATGTCGATACTGAAGAGGGGTTTCCTGGAGATGGCGATGAGGAGAACGACGGTGATGATGCCGAGTAGGAAGGTTGCTTATATTTGTTTTTTTTGTTTGTTGTTGTTGTTGTTGTTGTTGTTTTTTTCTACTGGACTGGTGTTAGCCGTGTGTAATTTGCGGCCACTTACGAAACTTGTTTAAATAAAAGGGATTTTCGTCGCTGTACGTCCTTTGTATTTCTCCTTTTTCCTTTTGCTTTACATATCTTTGACGTGAACTTTCGGATTTCCGTATGGTGAATTACTGATTTTTCAAGAAGACCAATTTTAATAGGACTGAGTAGGACTTCACCGTGCGAGTCCGAATGGAGTCTCATTTGACTCGCCTATTTTAGGCGAGATCGATTTGCGACTCATCGATTTAAGCAGATTCGCCCATGACTCAAGCGAGGTTATATAATGGATTCGTTGTTTTGAATGAAGTCAATCTTGACTTGAGTCGACCAAGTGGATCAAACTGTCGTTGATTCGGGCGAAGTCGCCCTTTTCTTTTTTACATATATATATATTTGAGCGAGGTCGAACTTGGAGTTTGCAGCAAAATTAATTTTTAGCAAGTAGAAAGGAAAATGTACGACGACTACCGATAGCTGCGAAGGCGTTGTTGAGTTCGAGCGAGGTCAAACTTTTCCTCATACGTTGGCCCTTTGTCGTAGGGATGTTATTTCGAGATAGCATCGAGATATTGTCCCGTTACAGTTCGTACGAGGTCGAATTTTTCATTTTGACGACCTCCCTCGGCCGTAAGGGCGTTATTTTGAGTGGGTCGAAATGCTAACCCGTTGCATTTCGAACGAGGTCGAAATCTTCTATTTTGGCGATGGCCCTTGGCCGTAGGGGTGTTATTTCAAACTGGTCGAAGTATTAACCCGTTGCATTTTGAACAAGGTCGACATCTTCTATTTTGGCGATGACCCTTGGCCGTTGGGGTGTTATTTCGAGCTGGTCAAAATGTTAACCCATTGCTATTCGAGCGGAGTCGAAGTCTTTTATTTTAGAGATGGCCCTTGACTGTAGGGGTGTTATTTTGAGCTGGTCGAAATATTAACCCGTTGCAATTCGAGCGAGGTTGAACTCTTCTATTTTGGCGATGGCCCTTGGGCGTAGGGGTGTTATTTCGAGCTGGTCGAAATGTTAACCCGCCATGAGTCCCGATTTTTTGGAGAGTTTCGGGTGTCCTCTGGAGGAGTCCCAGTTTTGCTCAACCTCTACGTTTCCTGGGTGAGTCCCAGTTCGCTTGGTTTTGTCTGTATCAGAGTGTGTGATGTCGGAGGGTATAAACCGTTGCTATTTTGCTCACGTTCGTTTCATGCATATATTGGAGTTTCCCTGTCTAGTCTTTTCACCTTCCGGCCTCGAGATGTCATTGGCAGGCGGGGCGATGAATTATACTTTGAACTCGGTGACGTCCCCCTCATCGACTAGGTCAAAACCTCCTGGGGAAAACATAATTGGGACAACACCTGGGTGAGGGGGAGAGAGTACGACTTAAGGGACGTCATTTTCCAGAAGTTGAAGTGTCAGACGAGCGATATTCCAGTTATTTTGTAGTAGTTTTCCATTTTCTAGTTGAGATGCTCCTTTGCTCGCTTGCTTGTGCGGCGCTTGTGTTCCTGTTTAAGCAAACAACAGAAGGTGAACCAAAATGATATTTTCCTTACCTCGATCTGATGAGTCGGTGAACGAGGGTAGACTTATAGTGTTGCGTGCTCTCCCTGGCGTTTAAATGGTTGATGGGATGGTAGTTTCTAAATTCGGTGGTCGTATTCAGCTCCCCCCCCCTTGTCCTCTAGCTCCGCGTGGGTTGGGTTCGCCTTAACTTGTTCATGGACTACCTGGTGTGGGGGGAGGATGTCAGAGTAGGGCAGGATGTGCTAATCCTTTTATAGGACTGCGCAGCAGGTGTCGTTTCCTCTTGTGGGATTTGCGTGGATGTTGGTTGTAACTCTTGCTTGTATGTAGCATCATGATCTAGATTAGCACGTGAGGTTTACTTACCACTCTTTCTGGCGGATGATTATGTTTCACCTATTTTGGATCTGAAGGAAACTAAAGAATTTGGCGAAGAAATCCCCACAGATTGACTAAACCAATTAATGATGAGAAGAAGGGTAAATCTTAGCCAAGCATAATCAACTTCAGATCTAAAAGTGTATAGTGAGATCATGAATGAAAAGTAGGAACATTCTAGATTTATTGATGTTACAATCTCATCTTTGATAAGAAGAAAAGATAAATGAGTTTACATCCTTCATCAAAATAGACTGTGAGAGAAAAAGTAGGGAGGAAAAGTCCCGCCCCCTTTTCTCGAGAATCCCCTTATATATATAGTTTTTGGAGTTTTACTGTGTTCTTTGACCACCGTGCTTTCACGTGACAACTTTTTTCGTCGTTATTCGAGTACCGTTTCTACTTGGCATACACTCGATGATTTGATTGGGGTTGGTCGTGGTGCTTTTCGCTATTTCGCCACCTGGGCGAGGTCCCACCTTGGTTGATCACTATGGTTAGATTTTGACCTATATAAGAACTATATCCATTTTCTTATGTAGAAATTACAAGGAATATTACGTCTCAAAAGTACAATAAGTATTTTAAAATTTTAAAAATATTTGTGACAATTGAAGCTTTATTTAATTGCATTTTCAAGAATAAAACCATACAACATTTTCTGTTGTCAATAGTCAATAGACTATAATCTTTGCTAAAACTCAACTATTGACCATGAAACCGTGATGGTTTTAAGGCATTATTTCCTGTCATAATAGTAGCAGAAAGCTTGCAATTTGTTTCACCATGAAAGCATCACTGAAAATCCTTACACCATTTTCATCCACCTATGGCTTCCGCGCTTACACAATCTCAGCTTCGGTCGATTTCCCAATGCGTACAGTGCTACAAGAAATGCCGGCGCAGAGCCACACGAATCAAAAGATAGCCTGCGACAAAACCATTGACCAATTCTCGCTCATGAACCTAATTGATTCTTCTTTCTCTTCAAATGGGTTTGCTCCCACTGCTCTTCTATTCCACGAGTTCTCTCGTTTCGTTGATTGTAATTTTTGTAACACACTTATCAGACGCTATACAGATTCTAAAAAGCACTCGCATTCAGTTTTTGTTTACACCCAAATGCGTAAACTGAATATCCTTCCTGATTTCTCAACATTCCCCAGCGTTCTCAAATCAGTTGCTCAGTTATGTTATGGTGAAGTTGGAAAGTCCATCCACTGTAATGCAATTCAATTGGGTTTTAATACTGATATTTATACGAACACTGCTCTTGTTTATATGTATGGTGTTTGTCAACAACCTGATGATGCTCTCCAACTGTTTGATGAAATTCCTGAGCGAAATGTAGTTACGTGGAATGCATTGATCACGAGTTATACGCATAATAGGAAATTTAGAGAAGCAATTGATGTGTTCAGGGAAATGTTAGCTTCTGGGGCTAAGCCAGGTGAAGTCACTATGGTTGGAGTTTTATCAGCTTGTTCTCATTTGGGAGCTCTGAGCCAAGGGAAGTGGATTCATGATTACATTGTGAGGAATCGGTTGAGAGTGAATGTCTTCGTTGGTACTGCGCTAATTGACATGTATGCTAAATGTGGAGATATTGATGAGGCGAAAAAGGTCTTTGAAACTATGGGTTTTAAAAATATTTATTCATGGAATGTATTGATTTCGGCATATGCCATGAATGGACAAGGCGAGGCTGCATTGCAGGCTTTCGATAGGATGGTTGTAGAAGACTTTAAGCCTGATGATGTTACCTTCTTGGGCGTTTTGTGCGCCTGCTGTCACCAAGGTTTTGTTGAGGAAGGTAGAAGGCGGTTCTCAAACATGATAAATCAGTTTGGCTTACAGCCGAAGATTGTGCATTATGGGTGTATGATTGATCTACTCGGACGTGGTGGATTCTTGGATGAAGCTTTAGAAATGATTCATTCTATGAGAATAAATCCAGACGCAGTAATATGGAGGGCGCTACTTGGTGCCTGTAGATTTCATGGAAGAGAAGAACTTGGTGAATTTGCTTTCCGTAAGCTAATGGAACTGGAACCAACAAATGGGGAAAACTACGTGTTAATATCAAATGTTTACATTCGAAAAAAGCAATGGGCTGAAGTTGGAGATGTTAGGGAATTGATGGACAGCGGCGGAATTAAAAAGATTCCTGGATGCAGTTCAATTGAAATTGAAAATGTAATGTATGAGTTTAAGGCCTCTGATCCTCTTAAAACAGGGCATGAGGAAATCCATAAGATGTTGAAAGACATGAAAAATAAGTTGAAATTAGCTGGTTATGTGGCTGAAACAGAGATCGCTCTGTATGATATTGATGAAGAGGACAAGGAGCATAATCTGATATACCACAGTGAAAAGCTTGCTCTTGCATATGGGCTGCTAAATTCATCTGAACCTACATTAAGGATAATGAAGAATTTGAGGATTTGTCAGGACTGCCACCAATTCTTTAAGCTTGCTTCAGCAATTTATAAAAGGACAATTGTTGTTAGAGATATAAAGCGCTTCCATCATTTCATTGGAGGTCTTTGCTCGTGCAAAGATTATTGGTGAATAGCTTGTGTATCGGTGTTGTTCTGTCTTCTGACAAGTTAGGAGGGGCAATTACTGCTTCAGAGAGTGGCAATTTTCACGCAGGATGTATATTTCAAATATTAATGTAATGGTCCGCTTTTCAGCCAAGGTAGTGTACTGGAGAGGTCTCAGAATCTGCCAGAGGACTTGGGTAGTTATTTCTTCTTTTGATGGAAGGATAAGTGGGATATTTTACTTTGTTTCTGATACATCAAACAGCCTAGCGGATGATGCCAACTTTGTTGGGGACTGAGGCGTAGTAGTAGTAGTAGTTGTTGTTGTTGTTGTTGTTGTTGTTGTTGTTGTACAATGTACATTAGACAGCCTAGTATGGCATGTGTAAAAGCTGGATATGATTTATGGTGTTTGATACCGCTCCTCAGATGAACTTCTATGCTACTTGGGTAGTCATTCTGCCAATATCATCACGGTTTCTTGAGTTGAGTTTGCTACTAGAAACCTTCCTTTGTGAAAGTTTTAGTCCTTGATATCTGAGAAATATTGGACTAGGCTCAACAGATCTTTTTTTAATTTTGAGCTCTACGACTCTGTCGAGATCCTAAATATTTCGGGCGATTGAACTGCAGAATGTGTGCTTTGAAGGCTCTCAGGTTTTCTGAGCTTACTTGTGTTTTTCTAGCTGTGCAGAACTGATGGGCTGACTGTTTGCCTTATCCATGATCGTAGGTAGTTCCGGCATATAATTCAGTTCGACTAATGTTGAAGTTTGTATTACAGTCCTTTGAGCATATTAGCTGTTTTTTCAGGTGAAACACATCTTGGCATGACCCATAATGCTATGAGAAGTTCACCTTCTAGACGTCAATGATGGTGACACAGAGTATCTAAATCTCTGCGGGAAAATATATACACCATAGGTACATTGCTTTCTACCCTAATTTTTATTTTCACATAGTTATTGCTTCTTTTTGTAGGATCTTCAGCTAAAACTCTTATTTGATTAATGAGGCAGAATATGTTATTGCCATAACAAATGTATTGCTTCTTGACCCTTTCTTGGGCTAGCTTTGGCAGCCAGGATTTGTTAGCCTTTTATCCCTGAAATAATTGGCATTCATGTTAAAAGTCCTTCACTTGAGGAGCTATTTAAATGCAGGAACCTCCAATAGTTCCATGAAACCATTACATCGTGCCTCATTTTCATTTAATTGGGTGGCAACGTATTGAGGAGTGAAAATTACAATTGATGCTAATCAGAACATGAATGCGAGTCTTATAAATGGATTTCACTTCACATATCCTACAATAGTTTCTAGAGAATAGCCTTGAAGCTAAAATTCTTTAATAGAAAGAAAACAAAAATTTCTTCATGAATATCCTCATCTTTTCTTACACAGTCGAGCATTCTACCAGATATCTTTTCTGCCCTTTTTTTCATAGGTAAGGATGAAGACGAGTGTAATAAATAAATAAAAAATTCTTTCCACTCTGGTAGAAGCTAGTAAATACGAAGTATACTAAATAGGTGACCAAATCTACTCCAGAAAATAAATGAATTATAATTGGCCGCACTCCATCTTAAACATCTGTATCTATTGATGCTTTCAGATTCAAAAAGCCTCGGGACCAAGGTGAGTGAAGTGTGAGCTTTGATAAGCTTCTTGCAGCATCTCACTGTCATCGTATGAATCCCGATATGTATCCAAGTTTATATCTGCATTTCTTAGTGCTGATAGGCAGAGTTCTTTCCTCCATTCTTCTAAGTGTGGGAATCCTATGTAGTCTGCATATTTGTCACAATACTGCCAAAGAAAATTATTCAAACACAACATATAAATACGGTGCAAAGGCTCTGAAATATCCTTTTTGTTGTAGAATTTGGATTAAGTGTTGTACCTCAAAGTTAGCAATATCATGGGTATTATGCTTTGGAATGCCAGCAACTTCTCTTGAACGATAAAACTCCTTGATGGACTGCATCATTTCATCCCATGATGGCAGTGTTCTTTTCCCAGACAGCAGCTGAGCAATCCATTTTGCTTGTGACTCAAAGAAAGGAAACCCTATAAGCTACATCATAAATAAGAGAGTGAGAATCTATTAAAATTGATTTATCCTCCCAAAACAAAACTTGATTGATTAATGCTTGGTTATAGAAATGCGTAGGAGTTAACAGTTGAAGTGGTTTACCTTTCGGGGTATGCCAATGAAGGATAGAGAGGGTGCAAGAGAAGGGGGGAAGGTATGCTCGTAAAGGGGCCCCACTCTGTCATCATCAACTACTACAGTTCCTTTGGTGTCAAGAAATGGAAAGGAGTAGGAGTACCTGCAGAAACATACCAACTTGGATCTGTCATTATCAATATTCTTTTCACTTTAAGACAAGACCGCGTCTAAGCACTGCCTAGTTCAATATTATGAATCTTGATATATATTCTTGTAAATAAGAATATTAAAAAATGTTTGAAAAACTATGATCAAAGTAAACAATGACTCCTCAACTAACAATTGCCATACAAAATGAAGCAGAAGAAATATTAGAATATCTAGTGTGATTGCTTGGGTTTATCTTTTCAACCTTCCTTTTTTAGTTTCTAATGTCTAAGAATAAAACACTTACCCTGTACAGTATATGATAGTGTCTGCAACGACTGAAGTGCCATCTTCGAACAAAACCCTCCCGTCTTCATGTAATGAATCTATCTACATTTTCATTTTGGATCAGTATTTTATTTGAATAATCAGTATTTTCATTGTCCGATTTCTAACAACAAACCTGAGGACGAAGATGTAAATTATTGTGCTTGGATATAACTTTAGACAATCCTTCAGAAACGTCAACAGATTTGGCGCTGAGATAGATCTCCTTTGCCACATCTACAAGCTCCATTCCTATATCTTGGCCACTTAGTGAGTTTCCAACCACCACAACCACCTGAAGTTAAAAACAGTTAGCAAGTTGTACGGGGCAAGATTCAGAACTTTGTTTCAAACCAAAGTTAACACTTCTTTTAAGAGTAAACTTAGATGCTGCTCCACAAGTGGCAACTCTGAACTTTTTTGTATATTTTATTCGAATACATGCACTGGAATTCGAATTATGACAACGTGAGATGTTAATTAATTATTTTTTCTGGCTAGTATTGCAACAGAATTATTATTTAAAATAGAAAAAGGAAAAAGTGAATCCAACTATTCATCTCTATGATTGTATAGAGATGAAAAAGGAAAAAGTGAATTTTTGCATTACCTCATCCTGAAAGGGGTTTGGAACCCTGTAAATGTGGCTATGCATCTGCTTTCTTCTCCATGCATCCATTCCTTATAAAACGAAACAGATAAAAAGCCTTTAATGTCACTCTTACACTATTGAATAAGAAGAAAATAAGTAAATATCAGAACACAAATAGTGTTTATGCAAGTATGTAATACATGCTGTAACTTTGATAAAAAGGTCTTATGGTTTTATTGTTAACTGTACTTTGACATGACCTGACTATGAAGAAGTTGCTTTGATTGATAAAGTTAGTTATAACTCCTGGATTTTCGTTGCCACTTTTCATGGTATGAAATATATATACGATCAATGCACAAAACTTAAACTCGAGTGAGAAAAATATGGAGAGTTTGACAAACCTTTAATATTTGGCAACCTTGGTTGAGAGTAATGACCAGTTGCAACAACCACAGCATCAAAGACTTCCTCCACCCCCATCTCAGACTCCTTCTCTTTGCTCTTCACAATCCATCTCAAATCCTTACCAAACTCAGGATAATTCATCATCCCCACATGCTCAACCTTAGTATTGAACCTTATCATCTCCCTTAATCCAAAGTATTCACAAAAATCTTTTAAATACAAGAGAAGTTCCCTATGGCCAGGAAATCTCCTTGAATCCCTCCCTGTCTTTACCACAAATGGAAAATCAGTAAATCCCATGATCTCTCTTGGAGAAATGAGCCTTAATGATGCATAAATACTGCTATGTACATTTTGGACATTAGTCCTTCCTAAAGGATCTTCATGTTCAACTTTAGGTTCATATAGCCATTGCCCTCCTACATCATGGTTTTGTTCTAAAACCACCACATTGTGCCCTTCCTTCCTTAGCTCCCTTGCAGCCACCAATCCCGACGGTCCGGCACCGATCACGCACACATTCTTGGACAAATTTCTCTCAGAAACCATGGTTGGTATTCAGAACTCTTGGAAGAAATGCAGTAATTTCTCGTGTTTTATGTTTATTGAGATTAAAAATGAAGTGAAGAGTTTATATATAGGCGAAGTAACTTGGAACTAAAAGAAAATGAGACTGATTAGCTATTATAATATCTTATAAGTTTGCTGGGAAGGAGAGACACGTGACTAAATAATAATTTGGTTGGCGTATGTCTCGAAATTGCTCTTGTATGTCTCGATCGGAAAGTTTACTCCTTTTGTTTGATTTATTGAGTTGGCATTAATTTTGAGTCATTAATTCTACTTTTATTCATTTCTTCTTCCGGTTTATTTTAATTGATTTTTTGATTGTTTTTACACATATTAAGGAATTCACTTTTTAGCATTAATTAATTAATAAAATTTACCATATTAACCTTAATTTATTTGTTGAAACTATAACAAATACTTCTAGGCTCTTTACTCCAACGACAACATATCTGATAAATCAAATATTATAGACCGTAAAAAAAGGCCAAAAAATCAATTAAAGTAGACCGGATGGAGTAATAAAAAAAGAAGGGGTAAGTTTTCTTCCTTTTACCTTTTAATTTTTTCCTCCAAGAACTCTTCTAGCTTTAATTAAAAGGAAGAAATTTTCCCAAAATGTATGGTAGGGGAACTTGGCGTTAAGCAGAAGGCTCCCATTTTGATAACTTACATCTAAAGGTCCACAAAGCTACCAAAAGATTGGGCAGTTTAAAAAGAAGCCACTTGTTTAGCTCTTAGCTGTTTTTATGATTTCTAATTTTCTACTACTGCTGTGACGTGCATGGGGTGCGACCCACTTCTTTTAATTACTAATAATGATACCCTATAGACTTAGGTGATTTGGTGGGGTACTTAAAAACATTCCTTTAGAGTCTTTCTAATTTACATTATGGGTGTGTTTGGTATAACGGAAAATGTTTTCCAAGAAAATATTTTCTTGGAAAATAGAGAGTAATTTAATTTATTTTTTGATGTTTGGTACGCGAATTAAGGAAAATAACTTCTCAAGAGTATTCATAAATAATTTAGATACAATAAACATGAAGCCATAAACTTTCGAATCAACAATCTTCCGAACTTACAAATTTCATAAACTTTTGAACCGCTAAACTTTCGAAATCGCGAACTTTCGAACCCGTAAACTTCAAAACACATAAACCTCCGAACTTATAACTTTGGAACTCGTAAAATTTCGAACCTGTAAACCGAAAGATGAAAAAACTAAAACTGAAAATATATTAAAAAAATATTTTTTGAGGGAGGAGGGGTGTGCAGAAAAACAAAAAAAAAACAGAAATTTGAAATTACAAAAAAAANTGGGGAAGTGGGTGGTGTAAAAAAACGAAAATCAGAAATTTGAGAAGGAGTTTTGGAAAATGTTTTCCCTTCTTTTGATAAAGAATTTTCCTCCAATTGGAGGAAAATGAGTTCAAAAGGAAAATATTTTTTAAAACATTTAAGCCAATCAATGAAAAAATTGAAAAATATTTTCGTTCGTACCAAACACACCCTATATCCTATATCAGTAGTTGTTAACTGACACATCTAATATAAAATACATACATAAAACGTTTGCGATTACACGTGGATATATAGAGAATTTGAGTGGAATAAATAGATCTTATAACATGTTAAAATTACCTAGAGTTTTGGGGGCCATGGACCCCTCGAGCCATGGGATATATAGCTCAACTATTGTAATCCACGAGGAGTATCTGTTATACTATCATTATTTCTTTCATATTAAAATTTAACCTCTCAATTATTTGAATAGAATTTCTTATATTTATAAATACTCTGTAAAAAGACCATATAATTAATAAGCGTGAGAGAGAGAGAGAGTGATGCTTGACTTGGAGTCTTGGACAAATCGATTGAAGTGTTCATTTAAAAGGACGGTTTGAAATTATATACTGTATTACTGTTACCCGTTTATTACAATAAATTTATTCTTAACAAGTAATAAACTTAGGGGCCGTTTGTTAGGATGCATTGGATAAGCTAATGTATGCATTAACTTTGTGTATTAATAATACATTGTTTGGTAGACATTTTGAACCTATGCATTAGTTATACATCTATTTGGTATTATCCTATGCATAACTAATGCATAGAAAACAATAATATTAGCAATGCAATGGGTTTTAATGCATGCATTAGCTTAGTTAAAGACAAAATTATCCTTCAAAATTTATGCTTGATTAAAATATACTAGTTAGTATATTAATGCAAGTTCAAAATAATCCAAATAGTGAGAAATAAAATTATATCCCTAGTAAATAAATAAATATTTAACATATTTCCTTTTTTATAAATAAATAATTAATTTATTTTACATTATAGGTAGACAAATAAAATAATTTTTTTTAAACTTTTTCATATAAAAAGATTTCTCAACATATGTTTCTTTTAAAAAGTTAGAGCGTGGACTAGCTTTGAGGTTATTTTTGTAAGCAAACAATTTTTTTAGAAAATATGCAATGCTTTAATACATCAAACCAACAGTATAACTAATACCAACATAGCTAATGCAAGTATAACTAATACCAACATTACTAATACACCCTATTCAGCATTATTCTTATGCACCCTACCAAACGACCCCTTAGTTGTAATTGCTTACGTGTAGCCAGATTGACTTGCTCATGACTAATTTTTTTGACTGCAGCTCCCCCACCTTACCCAAGGAAAGGTTTAAAATCAAAAATCAAATTTGTATATGATTCTTTGCTCTTAAAAAGAAAATGTGGATAAAGCATTTTTCAATATATACTTTCTAGTGTATATTAATAAGGACCTCATCCTCTACAAATGTACATGTACACAAATCACAATATCTTTCTTTTCAATTACATGAAAATATTGAACATATACACTACTAACCTCGTCCATATTGTTACCTCGTAGTTAGTTTTTTTAATATAATAATTAACAGCCTTGCACATCCCGTTTTTATACGAGATAATACAGTATATAAGCGAATAAATATTAGAGTTAGATGCTAAATATAATTAGGCAATCATTGTTAATATATAGGGTAACATTATCAAGGAAGGGAGACACTAATGATGTCAATGCCTTACAGTGAGTCAAGCATTTGATTTCCTCCCTTCTTGAAGGCAAGGGAACATCAATAATCATGAAATATGGTTACCAATGCATGTTCATCATTTACATATCAGCCTTTTGTTTCTTACTACCTCTTCAAACTAAAGATTAATAAGAATAATTTTTTAAAACAAAAAAGTAAGAACTATATATACGTTTCCACTGTACTCATGAATATATATACTTCAACTAGAACTAGAAATATATTTAAATAGTGATATTTCTTTAAGACTTCTTAGGGTGCAATTCAAGTATATATTAGTACAAGCATGAGTCATGTTTTACACTTAAATAGGTAGTACTATACTAGTAAATGATGAGTCACTTGCTTGGAAACTTTGGAGACAAAACTATATTGGTGGGGGTGGTGTGGCAAAAAGGCATAAACTTTTATATGCTTTTTAAAGACCAACTTTTTCATAAGGACCATCTTACTATTTGAAACTTATAAAAGGAAGGTTTCAAAGAAGAAAAAAGATGAAACGTCAAAAAAGGTTCTATCAACTTTCTCATGCAAATATGTAATTATTGGAGTAGTAATTTATTTGAGCGTTAGGATCTAGTTATTCTTTATACTGTGTAATGCTTGGCCTATAAGTTAAAAAAATGCTTTATGAAACTTATATAATGAGTCTGCATACTTTTTTCGGGGATGTACGTGGACCTGGTTGGTTCGTTTTTATCAAAATCAAACCAAACCAACTATATCGGATTGGATTGGTTTGGTTTTGTCGGATTTTTCGATTTTTCGGATTTTTTATTACTTAAATATTATTTCAATCTTACTTTATTAAATTTTTTATAAGTAAATATATGTCACGATACGGATTTCCCACCCTCGGGAATCGTGATAGCGCCAACTCGTAGAAGCTAGGCAAGCCACGAAATTTAGAAAATTCTTTACTTCTTTGTTTTAATCCTTTTAACATCTTGCTTTTAACAGGTGATAAGTGTCACACCTCCTTTTTCACCTGGCGCCCCCGTAAAGGGGCATAGGGGGAGTTTTTCCAATTAAAGGACAATCGAAACGAGATTTATTATTTAATTCAGAGTCGCCATTTGGAAGATTTATGGCGTTCCAAGTCACCGGTTGAATCCCGAATCAAGGAGAATATTGACTCTGTATTACAGTCCGCGAACCAGAAATCCGGATAAGGAATTCTGTTAACCCGGGAGAAGGTGTTAGGCATTCCCGAGTTCCGTGGTTCTAGCACGGTCGCTCAACTGTCATATTCGGCTTATTTATCTGATTTTAATACATGTTGAACCTATGTGCAAATTTTAACTTTTTACCGCTTTTATTATTATTATTATTATTATTTTAAAAGAGAATTGCAACGTTATTAAAATACGTTTTGAGCCACGTCACATCAATGCACCCATGATTTTGGACACGTTTAAACATCGTTGAGATTTGGATTTGGGTCGCATAAATGCGCACCCGAATTTGAGAAGGTAATGTTATTTAAAGTACGCGCCTAAAGAGATTAACGCGTCGTTATTTTGGGAAAAAGGCTGTGAAGTTCGCTAAGCGGCCGATCCCGAGTTCTAAGTAATTAATACATACATTTGTGAGGGCCCCACAATCTATGCATTTTACTGGGCGAGGCTCATCTCGTTTATTTTAAAAGGACAATCCTAAAGTGACTACATTTTTCTATTAAGTTCGTCTCTAAAATAAAAGAAAATCTCCAAATTAATTACATGCTAAAAAAAGGACGTAACTTATTAGTTATTAGTTTAAGACAAATGCAAATGGAAAATTGCAATCGAGCTTGTACAAAGGGAGGTTGTTTCGTATCTTATTCTATAAGTGAATATTACAAAAAATTGAAGTTATAAATAGAATACAGAATTGACAAACAATAATATCAAAACAAAACTAATTACTCTCTACCAATTTAGACCCACCTTACTAGATGAATTGAACCGCCAGAATTAATTGTTTACAACTATTTGAAATTAAAACCAACCTTAATTACTAATG